ATTTAGTTAGTTCGAAAACTTGGGATTGACTGAGAAATATAAGGCTTGAAATCCGCTATGTCAAAACAAAATGTAGCTGAAATAACAGAAATCTTTTAGAGAAATGATGTTGCCAATGCCAAATATCTTGTTACGCCTTTTTTTTGTTAATTAATAAAACACAATAATAAATACTATCTAACGGTTGGTCCAAGCAAAACAGTTGTCTGGTGGCGTGCAAATTTATACTCTAGCTCAACAAATCGGAGAGTGGGGCCAGTGACTTAGGATGGATTAAGCCACAACTCACCGAGATGTTAGTCGGAACTTGTTTTGCTTGACCAGCACACAAAAGGAGAATGTAACAGAGATCACGAAATTTAAGTAACAGTACACACAGAGAGAGACAAATAAAAAAAGATATTAAATGAATCACAATATATTGATTAATAAAAAAACGCACATGTGCTCCACTACTGGAGTGCGAGTAATAAAAAAAAGAAAGGATGTTATAAATCTTAAATACAACCTAACAAAATTATTTTTCGAGATAACCCCGCGAGACGTCTACCATGGTATACGCCCGAAGTACTTACAGATATTTTGCGCCTAAATATTAAACTTATCTATAGGTCTTCTTCGTTAGCCGCGGCCGAGATGTCCTCAACTCTGGTCAAAAAGTGGCCCGTAGTGGGCATGTCACTGGGCTGCTTGACTCGTTGCCAAAAATTATGGTAGTAAAAAAACCCTAGAGAGAGAGAGAGAGAGAAAGAGTGTTTAAAAATCTACTCTACTCTCTGTCTGAGATAAAACTACTCGTTGAAAACAATCGCACTTCAAGCAAAACCATGTACATGTTTTTGTACAAGAAAAGTAAAGCAAAGGCAAAAAAGATAAAAATGTACTAACTAATACATTATTATTCTAAAAATTCAATCAATGTAATAGAAGGTGCCATGTAGGCACTGCCCTCATATTTGAATACGTAGAATGTCCAATAAAATCAAGAAGTCTCTAAGAATTTCAATAAGTAATAATAAATGTATAAAGATCTTTGAAATTGTTAATTAGAATGATATTTTTCCTGTTCACATCAGGTTTTTTTTTTCAAGGAGATGGCTTCCACCAATTTGCAAAACTGCAACAAGAATCAACCAACCGGAGGAGAAAGGACGATAATTCTCTTCTGTTCCTATTGGCTAAAAGGCAGCAGCTATTGAACGAACGTCATCAGGACACGCATTAAGGCACGTGGTCCGAAGGTATATAAAAAAGAACTTACACAAGTTACACAAAAAAAGTGTGCTAGTCCATGAATTGGCGCTTGGGACCTAATATGCCAGAGTCCGGAAAATGACGAAACGACCCCTGCACCACGACCTCAACGGAAACAGAAAAACGAATCACGCAGAACACGTAACGTTCTAGAAGAAGGTATCTTGAGTGGCCTTGAAGAAGATATGTTTTATAGGAAACCAACTAATGGAGAAAAACTACAGAGTTTTTTGCTGATCGTCAACACCATACTGAATCGCTGATAAAGAAAGATATCGTACGAGTGAAATTATACAATGAATAAACTATTAAATTTGCCAATAGAAAATCATTGAAAAGGGTTTGTCCTAGGAATGGGCACTCTATTATTAATGAAGAGAAATTCAAATTACGGATAAGTGATAAATAGTAATAAAAAGGTTACGTGTTTTTGGCACGTGACTACTCCCCCTCTCCTTGGAGTAGAAGGGTATCTACAGTGTAGATAACCGACGATAGTTAATAACGCTGAGCTACCAATAACCTATAGAAACAAGAATCAAGCTGATTATCAGAATCAAAGAGAATATTCAAATTCACACGAAAATTCCCACCAAAAAAATATTCTAATGGGTACACTGGCAATACTTTTGAAGTGGAAACTGATCTACTCATGTTCGGCGACCAGATAAATTAGCACTGCGTAATCCTTATTGGGCCTGAGGATAATCTCGTGTACCAATCTCATTCCGAAACAAAGGCAGAGCCCCCATTACACCTCTCCGTACACCAAGCCAGACATGACCAACCGATGGTGGACAGCACAATAACAAGAATTGTAACCCATATTTCCACCCTTATATGGAGCTAAGATATAGTTCTACCAGACTGAAAGGTACTCAAGGCACCAGGATTCGATCAAACAAAGGGAAAAAAAGACAAATTTAGATAGGGTGATCCGTGATGTGTTACTGCCGGCGATCCGTCTGAAAGCTATACTGAGCGGGGCTGAGGTGTAACGCAGTAGCAACGGGGTGTTTGTCATCGTCAGGATGTTACTGAGACGCCCACCAAACCAATCGCACCCGACGCACACCCTCCCGAATAAAACCTGCACAAAGGGTAACAAAATGGGGCCTGACACACGTCGGCGCTCAACACAACGCAGCCTTTAATGAATCAACCTAAATTACAAAAAAAAAAGAAATTGATCGAAGCCACACAACATCCAAGGTCAATATCGGTATTAAAAGTCAAAATCAGGTAATAACAAGATCAAGATCAGGACATGAGTTATGACACGTCCAAAATCATGAATCAAAAAAAGGAAGAAAATATAACGTAAAGGCAAGATAAGATAAACGAACTAATAAAGGTAATCAATACTTGATCACGAAGATAAAAGATAGTCGAAATAGGAAAATTAAATCAAGGAATGGATATGTCAAATTTAACATAACATTCAGTAGTCTCAGAAGAGAACAAATTGTATACCCACTTGTTGATATGTGCAGACTTGCAAGTTTTCCTCCAAGCAATCTGGCCATACCCAACAAATTGTCCACTCTACAGGACAAAACGTAAGATAAGACAAGATAAGATAAAACAACGTAATTCAAGAATTATACTGAACAAAGGGAGTTATCAATCGACAAACTCCTACCTTCCTTCACATAGATGGATGAATATGACAAGGTAAGACAAGAGTAAGCAACTAATCGATCTAGTAAAAGACAAGGATAATAATGTTCAGTATATCGCATAACCTAAATCACCACTCGATAATAGGAACAGTTATGTGGAAAAATCCAACAATTAAGACTCAACACGGTAGTGATTAACTTATATGAGCCAGGTTATTCAGATGGTATAGCTTAGATGTTATAAAGTGTTGATACATGTTGGACTACCACCGGCAGTTTTCCCGCCACGGACAAATTCTAAGGCCCAGCCCGTAGGGCTATGGGAAGGAGGTCCCATGCACCTCTGTTACAGATTTGCGCAGAACACTGGATAATGATCCTGAGGCATCTTCCTTGATGGAAGACGCAGATGTAGATGACTTCTTACAGCTCCTTCATCGAGAGATGGCACAGATGGTCTTTGAAGAGCAAGTGATCAAGCATGAGGAGGAAGCAAAGAAAGAGACTGAGGATATTGTTGACCCTCATCTGCACCCTTGCAAAAAATCTGTCAGCAGATGTGCTCTGATGAAAATGGGACTTGTGCAGCCTGCCAGGCCAAAATGAGCGATGATATGAAGAGCTCTTAAACCTCGATTGTTCCATGGGTTGATGATGTGAGGGCATTAGATGGTGGGGTAGTTAGTTTTTCTAACCAACCAATTTTGTCAGCATATAACTTGAGAAAATTTAGCTATGTAATACACGAGGTGAAAACTTCATTTGGTGGATGCCCCTTAATATGCCTGATAGGTCCATAAAGTGTTTCAACGAGTCATTCAATATTTAGAGGTGGAAGCAACAAATGTAATTGCAAAAAAAATCAGAAAATTCTTTCCACAAACGCGAATTTTCCGCCTTGTGTAAGTAGTTCCAGTGAAAATAACAGTTGTGATGTGATGATTCGATGCCTTAACTTAGCCATACCGGAGCCAACTGAAGTGTATAGTAAACATTGGTATATTTTCCTACGCTAATACTGTAAACCAAAATACCAATTTTTATATCTAGCTCCTACATCTTTATAGGCCCTTAAACATCTTGCGCAATTTGTTTTTCTATTGTTGCGTGTTCTAATTTTATAGTTTCAGTTATACCCCAGTTGCATGTAAAAATTTCTGTAAAGACTGATATTCATGGAGGAGATGCTAGGAATACTTTTGCACCTTGAATCTAAAGCATAGTCTTCCACTACTTGAACCAAAGATGAAGTATAGAATGTGAAAACTGATGTGCTTCTATGTAAAATGTCTAGGAATTTTATTTTTATTGGAGAGAACAGTACGCCTTGAACCCTATCACATTTATTTAGTAAACCCAAAATCAAGGTACTGACTGAAAATCGCGGAATACGTTATATTTATGCTCCACAAAAATCTCCGATTTCTCTGGAAATTGTGAGCAAATAAATTAGATGAATATCTTAAAAGTGTGTTTAGAAGTGCAACAAAATCAGTGAATGCCACAAAAATAGTAAATCGAAGAAGGAAGGTGTAGTACGAGGTGAGTCTGATTCCATCTGTCCAGTTGGTATATAATAAAAAGTATCGAGTATCGATAAAGGTCAAGGTCCGACGGGTTGACTCACCCACTGACTTTTTGTGCGGCTTGACCATCTATAAGATATAATATAACATAAGATATAAGAAAAGGTAAACAAGATAACACGAAATTTCGTGAACAATCGAATACATTTAAGAACAGTGACGGAATGATGCAAAAAGGAAAGCGGAGGACTGAGACGACATATTTAAAAAACCCAAGAAAACTAACAGGTCACCACGACGAACCGATACGACAAACCAAGGAATGCTAAATGAAATGATGAGCTTGCTGACAACACTGGCAGAAGATATGAAAGATATTAAAAACCAACAGGCCCTACAAACTGAACACATACAATCATTGAAAAGTGAAATCCAGGAGTTTAAAAAAGAACAAGAGGAGTTAAGAAGGAAGTAAGGATCCTAAAAGAGGCAAATGAAAATGCCCTAATCGAAATTGATCACCTTAAAAAGCAGGTAACCGACTCTAACGAGAAGTTACAAAGTATAGAAAATAAAAAAAGGAAAAAGAATATTGTAGTTCAAGGCCTGCCAATAAATGATAGAACAAGCACATTGAGAGAACCTATGCACAACTTTATCCAGAAAGAAATTGGAGTAGATGTGAAAGTCAACTCAGCAAGGAAACTAGGAGAAAAGGTTTGCCTAGTAGAGTTTGACAGCTATTCTGATAAGAGTCATGAAACATAAGAGCAAACTCAATAAACTAAGCGAAAAGGTATACATAAACAATGATCTGTCGAAAATTGAAAGGCAAATACAGACCAAGATCAGAATTATTTCCAGAGATCCAAGAGTTAAAGGAAAGCAAATCAAAATGGCGTACCAAAAACTCATTATAGATGGAGAAGTATGAAAATGAAACATCGAAACAGATCAGCTGGAAAGATGAAAAATAACAGACAAAAAGCTAGAAAACCTGGATGCTCTCAGTGAGATAATGATGATGACCAGGCTAGCAAAGGGACTACGAAGTGGAAAATCAAAAACAAAGAATAACAAAACAGACTTGAAACGCGGCACATGGAATATAAGAGGCTTGTGCCAAGCTGGTCGATTAAAACACTTGGCCAATGAATTAGAAAAACACAACTTTCAAATAGTGGCATTACAAGAAACCAAACAAAAAGGACAATGCAACCAGCAAATTGGAAATTACATATTTTTCAGCAGTGGTGGGGAGAATAGATTATTTGGAACAGGATGTATGGTTAGCATGCGGCTTAAAAGTATAGTAGGAGATTTTAGCCCTGTATCTGAAAGGATATGTACGCTCGTGATATGGGGAAAATATCAAAAAATAACTTTCATAAATGTGAATTATTAGATGAAATGAAATATATGATCGTATACCAAGGTATGACTTGAAAATAGTAATAGGGGATACCAATGCTAAGATAGGCAGAGAAGAAGTATACTTTCCCACAATTGGAAGACATAGTCTGCATATGGAAACAAATGAAAATCGTCATTTTCTAATAGATTTTGTCAGGGAAAAAGCTTGGATTATAAAAAGCACATACTTTGAAAGAAAAGACATTTACAAAGGCACATGGAGGTCGCCCAATGGTGAGACGATCAATCAAATAGACCACGTATTGATAGATAGGATGAAGAAAAATGTATCACGAACGTAAGAACCTACAGGGGACCCGATGCGGACTCTGACCACTTCATTGTTGGAACAATGTTGAGAGAAATTAAGCAAAGCAGGACTGATCAGACTACAGACTGAAGAAGAACGGAAAGAATATGAAGGGAACATTACCAAAGAATTGAATAGAATTACGCAGAACGAGAATGTAGATCAGGCATGCTAACAAGGGTACTAAAGTCAAACAGCAACCTTGGTTCGATGATCAATGCAGAGAAGAATTGGAAATGCAAAACAGATTACGACTAAAAATGCTAACACAGAAAACAAGTGAGGCGGAAAGTAACTACTCCTTGCAAAAGAAGAAAATGAAACAGATTTTAAGAGAAAAGAAAATATCACGAAAATAATCTACAGCACATAGGAGACAATTATAAAAACAAACAGATCAGAAACTTATATCAAGGAGTAAATAATGAAAAGCGGGGTTACCAAACTAGAACTACGTACTACAAGGATAAAAATGGTAAGAAGATATTCGATGAGGAAGAGGCCCTTGCACGCTGGAAACAATACTTTGAGCAGTTGCTAAACCCTGCAGACGACGCGGCCAATGACTACAACGAGAAAAATTCAACAATCCATCAAAGACCTCAACTAACTGAAGAAGATCCGCAAACATTATCGGTAGTCGAAAACCTCATAAGCATCCTGAAAAATGGTAAGATCCAAAAATGTTTAATCTGTTTTTAACTTGTCTTGTCATATTTTATATAATTTTGACCATTGTATCATCTATCCAGCTCTCACCATGTTACTGGACCTTTCCCTCATCCTATACGTAAACAACAATTAGCAACATCCTCACATACTACTCTCCTGATGATGATGGCAAAGTCCATTGAAAGCTAGAGAGAATTAAAAAAAGTATAAAGAGTCCTCTTTGCTTAAATTTTGTCGAAGTACCCAACAAAAGGCGGAAGCTATATATATATATATATATATATATATATATATATATATATATATATATATATATATATATATATATATATATATATATATATATATATATTTACATCCAGGTCAATCATTTGCTTCCATCAACATGCACGGCACATTACATCTTGACTCCATGACTATATTGATACCATATATCGGACTCAAAATAGTTAACTCGATTTCTGCCGCTCTAGAAGACCAGAGATGCTTCAATCTTTACAGATTCCTACGCGATTCTTCAGCAGAATCTGTGTTGAGTTTTTGTTCTATGATACCTGGCACCAGATGGCTGCAATTGAATAATGTGTGGATGCAATTTATTACTACCTTTGTAACCAAAAAATATGATTTTAGTTCACAGAAATTCCGCTACGCGGAGGCATAAATATGCTCACTGGAGCTTTGCCTTCATTCCGTAGATTATTTTGGTTCCTCTTCTAAAAATCATTGGCAACGCTGCATGTCGCGTCTATACGTATAACAACATCATCTATCCAGTCGTATCTTGATTCCCAACGTTTTGAGTATGATTTTGCAGCCAGTGAGTTTCTGTTGCCTGTTCAACTTGTTAAATACGAGTAACTTTCTTTGAGACCGAAATGGCTAGCAGTCAAGAAGAGGTAAGTTGTGTTTTTACTACCCACGCCAACTGGTGAGGAATGATTGTTTTTCGATTGATTGATTGATTCAAAATTTCAGGTAATGAAATTCGGGAATAACGAAAAACAAATAGATGGCTTTGTAACAGATCATTATCTCCAAGTGAGGACAAGAGTGGAAATGATACTCGACAAGAAAAGGTTAGTTTCAACAATGACTAGATTCTTGTAAGTCTTAATAGTCCTTTGGCCCACGGGGAGAGAATATTTTGTGACAACCTAGCCTTCAAGATTTTATAAAACTTTTTCTTTACGTTGATTGAGACAAATATTCAATAGCGACAATTTCTTATACTAGGCGTTGTACTACCCATGACAATTTTCAGAAAGGTTCGAAATCGAAATATCTTTTTTTAATATTTCGTGACACACAATCCCAAAAATCCATGCTACTCATGTCTGCCAGTCTGCCTGCAAATCTTTGGCACCTCCATATGGATTTTTTTAGACACAAGATTGCTCCTAAGAGGAGTATGAAAAAGTTTTGAATTTTTTAAAACAAAAAAAAAATACAAAAAATGCTTAAGCTTTTTGCTGTACGTTTCAGTCCCCTAATCATTTTTCAAAATCTCTGGATGGCTCAAAATTGAGGGATAAGGTGGGAGAAATTTTTTGCGTTCGTGAAGAATCACCCATAAAACTTTACAGCAATGGTCGTTAATCTTTTATCCGAATTTCCCTTCAAAAATCGCATTAGTCATAGTTTTTCATAAGCTATAGACAGTGGCGGATTTAGCTTGCTTTTGTAATCTAACACCACTGTGTTACTTTCTGACACATCATGGCGACAGAAGCATATTAACTGTAAGTTATAGCTATATGAACTGAGCATTGCGATTTTTTGGTATCCTTTGGTATTCCAAATGCTGGCCCTGTTTGAAATCACTTGTTTACAGCACAATTCTTACGATTTATACATATGTACGAGTATTGTGACTTGTGACAAATCTAAGTCTGGGTACCTAATATATCAGCTGTACAGATTGCACTTAAAAGGTAATTTATGTTCTGTTTGAAGTTTGGGTTTGAGCTCATGAGATATTTTACTATTTAGTACTTTTTTGTCTATTTTTATAGCCTCATCCATGTACTTTTTATTTCAATATGCGTGAAACGGTTAGGTTATAAAAATTACCAAAAAGTCCACCAAATATTAATCCTGCGAATTTGCCATTTGTTATACTTTTTTACTTCTCGCGCCAATTGGCGGGGAAGTATTTGTAATTGCGAAACATTTCTAAATCAAGATAATACTTTTTTAATGTTTCACGACATGTACATCACAAAACCATGTTCGTTGTTAGCAATATATGGCATAATGTGGTGTGGCAAAATACCGTGACGGCTCGACAACTATTTGGGAATACTTTTCAGAAATGCTTCAAATAAGGGTTGTAGGATTATGCCTCATCTATCGGTCGTTGACCTTGGTTTTTACCTTGACTTTGACCTTGAAGGTTAAAAAAATTTCAAATAATGTAAAGACCTATTATTGATTCGAGTAATGATACTCGCGGAACATTTTAAATTCAAGCATCACCTTGAGCGATCCTTATATTTCACATTGAGTGATCTTCAACGTCAAATCGCCACTAATGGGTAACTCTTCGGGACTTCATTTTAGGGTGAAATACTTCAAATAAAAGTTGTAGGATTAATCCTCAGCTATCAGAAGATGACCTTGGATTCTTCTTTGACCTTGAAGGTCATTTAAAGGTAGAGTTTTAAACGTAGATCCTCATTTTTGACTCCTGCAATGAAATGAGCGAAAAATATTACGTTTAGATATGTCCTGGGGTGACGCTCATATTTCACCTTGAATGACCTCCGGGCTACTAAGGCAAGAATGATAGTCCCGGCCAACTAAGGCAAGGTTAAGAGCCCTGGCCATATGGTAGTAGTTTTACGTTGAGAGATCACTGTTTTCCAAACTACTATGTTCTTTAATTTTACACTTGATATGACTAGGACTATATGATTCACCAATACATAATTTCAATTTTTTAATCATCGCTTGTTTCAGGAAACGGAGAATGAACCGCCATTGATTTGTGCTGCTGGTGAAGGTGAATCTGCAGAGCCCTCTACACTCGCAGCATCGAAGAAATATAGACGCCAGACCAATATGTGTTATTTCTGTGAAACGGACGTACAAAAGTTCAGGAAATATTTTCACATCAAAAGAATTCTGTAGAAAGGAGAAAATTACTTGCACTTTTGAAGAAAAAAGTCAAATTCATAAAAAATTCAGAAGAGTGCGTCAAACCTGTGAAGAAGGCTCGTTCACCAAGTGCATCTTTTCTTCCGTGCGGAAATTGTCTTGGATTCTACAGATCAAAGTTTTTATACAGACACAAAAAAAA